ACAGTTTCAACAGTGAATTACACTGTACATCTATTTTATATTAAAATAGTTGATGTAGCTTAGCTTTAAATCTGGCACATTGACTTTTGGATTTATTTGTAAAAATATAATTGAATATAAAGACATTTATGCATAATATAGTATAAATTATGAAGATCAATTAATCAGACTTAGCAGAAGTAGAAGATGTTGCAGAATGCAATGATTTATTTCCCTTTAAAGCTTGCCTTTCCTTGATATCAATTATGCTCAAATTAATACATGCCACGTATCCATGTAACAATGAAATAGCAGCTTTAATAATTGCTACAGGTGCAGAAATGTACATAACTAATCTGAATAAACTTATGCCAGCCACTGAAATAAAAGTTCATGTCATTTGTTATACTTTACAAAACTTAAATACTGATATTACACAAAGTAAAGTAACTTACAAATGGGCCCTTCAGTAAAGTAAATTAGGTACAATGCAGCATAAAATGCTTCATTTCCAGCACACATGAAAAATAAAACTGGGCGATTAGTGTAGTACACACTCATAATTGGGTTTTCAGACATATCAATAAATTTATGACTGGTTTTTCCTTGTAACTGTGAACTGTAACATATAAATTATGGAATGTTAAAATATTTGTATATTTTTATACCTTTATATGAAAGCTTTACTAAATGTGCTTATGTATTGAAATTTGACCTTACGCATAAATATATATCCAATGGCAAGCAATATCAATCGCCATGCTTAATTGAAACCAAAATGTATATGATGGATAAAGTACACATAGTGAAGCTAATAGACACATAGTACCAACACGATCAGTCAATTGGTCCAGCACAGCACCAAATTTGGTACCTTGGTTAAAATATCTAGCTGCAAGGCCATCCACTGCATCCAGTAATGCACTAATTATATAGCACCATGATGCAATAATATAGTTGGTTAGCATGAAGTAGAAAGATATGAGAGCCAAAATCACTCTCCCATAGCCTATTAACATTATATTGTCAATATGTATTATTACGCTGATAATATTTATTTGCTTGGATCTTTAGATATCTATGTTTCTAATTATTGTATTGCTCTCAGTTTATACTACATTCTCTTAAATATTTATCCTATATATATATATATATGTGCATACATATACATACACATATCTATATGTATATATAATTTTTTAGAAGTATAGTTAAATACTTTTAATATTTTGAATAGATGTGTTATATAAAAGACTTGATCCATAAGTTCGTATAGATCCGTATGGGAAGTCTTTGAAATGCTGCTGTCACCCTTTTATCTTATCACAGACTATATTTAAAGCACTCATCAACAACCAAATTATAAACATTCGAAACATTTTCACATATGCATTAAATACGAATATTATAAAATTTTTTTATATCGTAAACAGTATAGTTATAGTTTGACACTATCCATAATAATTCGTTTCACGTAAGAATTGTATAATTAGATACAGTTTTTCATTAAAATGTGGAAATATTAAATATTTACTTACCAATAATATTAGGCACAAACAAGAAAATGTTCTCAGTCTCCAACATTTTGCCGCCTTCAAATATCTATCGGACTTCGGAAATATATTTACAACACAATCTGATATCTGTAAACGAATGTAAAGATGTGTTTGTCATTCGTGATCGTTTATATTAACTAGTCTGTATTGTTTTTATCTTACGATCTTGACAATTTCGTTGCCGCTTGCTCGCGTTCCGTTCACTTCTATTTAATCTAAATGACTGTAAAGAAGTACAATGAAGTACAATATAACAACATATAACGTCAATGGAACGAGTAAAATCGACGATTATATCGCATCGTAGTTTCGAGTTCGAGATACATCGATCATGATGACGCATGTAGCAGTCACACAACTAACAGTGTCGTATCACCGAAAATTTTTACGCATCATAAAAAGTACTTTTTTTTTAAACGATATTAAAATAGATATTAAGTAGTAATTCTTATAAAGAATCATTCATATATACGTACATTGACTACAAAAGTAAAAATCTATTTTTCTTATTTAACAAATTTGCAATTATAATATTAAATCTTATTATTCGAATTCATTTAGAATTGTAATAGTAAAAATATGATTTGCAATGAATACATTTAATAGTGATGATTTATTTATACAACTTTAGTATAATTGCTTAAAATAAATTTCAAATATCGATGGTTGCAAACAGCTTGACATATAGTTACGCTCCTGCAGCCAGACGACATTTTCGGAGGCTAAACGATTGGTCCGCCGTTTCTCTGCGCAAAAGCGATCGTTTATTGTGTCGCGAGAAAACTATCTGTTCAGGTTTACGTCAGTTTTCCTGTTACATCTTTCCGATGTGATGAACTAAGAGTAATTTTCATGAAATAATAGTGAAATCAAGCAAACTGTTTTAGTGTCAAAGTTGACTAACTGTACAGTCACATTCGGACAGAGTGCTGTGAAGTTTTGGGTGGGCTACTTTTTCCAATTGATTACAGTTTGCATTTTATTTGAAATAAATCCTGACAAAGAAATTTTTGGTTTGCTACTGTATCAAATATTTCTATACAGAACTGTATTGAAGGTTTTTGTGTTGTTGTGTGAAAGTGTACAGGCAGAAGTACCATTATGCGATCGATAATTCACCGACGATTTTGGAATACGCTCCAATGATCCGATCACAGTACTTGTGGCTCCATGAAACGTTCCTATTTGTCAGTGAAATGTTTCAAAAGTGCTTATAGTGTCTTCCAAAGCCCATGTACAGCGGAACAGTGATACAAACGAAGTATATACTTTCCAATGTGTATACGAGCAATGCCAGAAACATGGTTACTGTTTTGTACAAATATGTTTTCGCGTCTTCCGTTCGTGCACGGTTGGATCAAAGCTACTAGTACATTGCATTTAGTGTAAAAAATAAAATTTTATGTAGAAGCATACGTGAAAAAATGTGCATTTTAATATCGACAGCGGCCATTTTGAATTTATGAGTACTGCGAACTACGCCGATTATCAAACTCACTTTATATCTCCAAAATTGGACTTTCTTCAACATTTACCTAAGATTATGAAGGCCTGCAATACGAATTTCAAATGTCAGCAAAAGATATTTACAGTTCGTCATTTTTAAGATAAAATCTTGTTGAGTGCTACATAAAACATTCCAATTCAGTTTCGTTATATGTTTTTATGTAAAATTTGTGACTATATTCTCAATATAAACTGTATTATTTGAATTCATCTCCAGAAAAAAATAATTGAAACAAATCACTTGTTCTAATTAAAAAGGGATATGATAAAATTATATAGCTTTACTGTTTCTTTATTCATAATAAAACATTAAACAAGTTCGTGTTAGTAGAATACAGACAGTAAGACAGGATAATAGCTAAAATTGCTATTTTCATGATTTTCAATTTTCTTTCCAATGAAGGTTTTGTATTGACACAATACATTCATTACAATCTACAAAACAGCTATGTAATATGTATAATTTCAATTTGATGAAAAATAGAACGTGCTTTATCGGCAGCTGTGTTCGAAGCTGACAAGTCAATCTGAAATAACCTCAACAACGAAAGATTACTGATATCAAGACATGGAAATGAACCGTATATTTGAATCTGACGTACAATAATGAAAACTTATAATCGAATCCAATATACATTACACCAATTGGAAGAAAAGGATTATCAAAATACAATAGTTAATCTGATTGAACGACAGTCACGACACTAGATGGTGGACGGTGCCATTTTTGTCACCTTCGCATCGCGCATGGTACGCGGGTAAAGACAAGAAGATTTTCAATTGAACCTTTGCAATTACCATAAAATAATTAGTATTATTTAAGTGCATGATTCTTCAAGTTAAATCAAATATAATGAGTTTGTGATCGGTTAATCCGATCAATTTTAACCTGACGTGACATTAGTACAGTGAAAAATGCATTCATCTATTCGAACGTGATGATTGTAGTAGTGATTTAATAAAAGGAGGAACAAGATCGAAAGAACTTTACATGATATGATATGCAAAAAGTCATTTTCCGTGTGTAATCGGATCGGGTCGTTAGACCTTGAAAATACCAAAGAGCAGCGATGAAAAAGCTATGAGTACAGCAGACACAGCGCTGTCAATTTCGATCAAGATGGCCTCAGGGCCGGAACATCGTCAGGAACCGGTAGCACCTGATAAAATTGTTGAAAACAGTCGTGGAGAAATCTCTAATGAAAGAGATATTGAAAATTCTGTGGTAGGTGTTGAGACTATTAGTAACCAGAGTTTAAGTGCAGAAAGTGCTTCAACAAATATTGATACAAGTTCAGATCCAACAAGTCAAAGTACGCCAACTTCTGCTACCTCCGATAATAAGCAGGTGAGTTGTATACAGAAAATTATTTAACCCCTTGGCCGAAGCGAACTGAAGGCGCCTATAGGTGCTCACTTCACATTGCTCGAAACGAGCTGAAGGCGCCTATAGGCGCCCGGCAAATGTTATCGACAATGATCTCACTTGGATCAGACGTAAGTGAATTCTAATTCAACAATTACATGTTCCATTAGTTAAATATTATTTAAACTTAAATATTTTATAGTTATTTGGTCACAGCAAATGTGATGTAGAATTATGTATTGACCCATGTTTTAAATTGTATCACATTTTACTACATTATGAGGTATATTGTGAAATAAAGCTTAATGTTACTTTTAAAATTTTAGTATGTTCACTGAAAATTCAACGCAGAATACTAATAAAAAAAATTTGGTTTAATGTAGTACTATTGAATGTTAAGATCATGTCAATATATCTCCTAAAAAATTTCGTCGTTCTCAGTGTAGGTTGCGACTATATGCTCCTACCGTATGCCACGTGCGGTACGTATCAAAGCCTGTCGTAGCCAAGGGATTAATCAACGAATTAACCATTTCTTAATGATTGCATAAAACTCTTTTTTTATATAGAACATTTTAAGTATATACAATCAAACTTTCTCTAGGTTTAGAATTGTTATATGTACATCAACAAATAAAATAATGCTTTAAAGAAATTATTAAAAAAGAATAACTTCATATGTCAAAATGTCAAGTATGTTAATTTCAAACCTTAGTACTACATGATGTGTACTTCGTTCTACTAG